GCAGCCCTGAAGACGAGGCTTTGGAAAGCCCTGGGCAGAGGGCAGTTCATCTCAAGTTATCCGTATCCATACCCGCTGTCAAAGGACAAGCCCATGAGTGACCAAAACGCACAAGGTTTGGGTGCCGTCCTTCTCTTTTTTCACTTCCTTCTTTCCCACTCCTCCTTTGCCCCGTGAATCCCTTTTCCATCCTTCTCTGTTCCTTTCACTGCTCCTGCTCCCTAGTCTAGGTCTCACACCACCTTGGACTAGGATGGCGGTGGGTCTCATTTCCTCATAGGCCTCTCATTCTCTCTGCGCAACCCTCATATTTTCCAAGCATCATTTCAGTACGTACGCCCTCTGCAGAGATCTCATGGATGTCAGTTGTGTGTGGTCAACCTGGAGCTGTTATTTTTTGAGTGGTAACGTGGAGTGTCCTTCCCCACCCCCCATGCAGTAACGGCCCTCCGCATCCTTGCTCTGCTCTCAGCTCAGCCTCTACTTCAGTCCAGTAGCGCTCCTTCCTGTCAATCCGTGTGTTCCTCCCTCCAGCCTGTGGTCGCCTGGCCCACTGGGAACGTCCTTCTTTCCTTTCTCTGCCACTCTTTGCTTTCTCCTTCTTTTGTGCCCTGTTTATGTCTGATTCCATTCACAGAGCTTTTTCAATGTGATCCCATGGAAGGCTGAGGGCATATATGAGTTTCGTGCCACGGTAGGTCCTGGTCTTGATTTTGTGTGTTTGCTGTATGTTGAATTAAAAGGAATTGTCTGCTGTGGACATACTTGTAGCTTTTGGCCAACAAAGGATAGAGGAGGAAAACCAAGAACATTTGCTACAGTTATTAATTTTAACAATTCTACTCTTCCTGTCCACTCACCCAGGAGGTGGATCCTGGAAGCCAATGCATAGGATGGTAGTCTCCAAATCGGGGCGTTTGCATCCCAGAGCGTGTTGAAAATGATTCACTGAATGTGGGAAGGAAAGCGTGGCAACCTCAATTTCCATTTATTTTTATCTCATCCTTCTAATTCCTATTTTTTCATGTATGTTTCATGATGTACATAATGTATTAGTAAAGTAGTACATGCATAGAATTAAAATAAATAAATATGCATATGGTGGGGTGTATGTTTATAATTTTTTTTTTAATTTTTTTTACTAATGGAAAGTGCAGAGACCAATAGACAGAATAGATTGGGGTAAGCACTAGAGATGGTTATGAGAGATTCATATATTTGAGCTAGTGAAAAGTAACACATAACAGAATAGAATAGAGGTTACAAGGAATGTTCAAATAAATAACTGCATTTAGAAATAGGTTGTCCAACATTCTTGGGAAGCTAAGGCCCCCAAACGTGATGTTGTTATGCTAGCTACAGGCTGAGCGAGGCCAGAGGAGGGAGGAAGAGAGGAGCAGAGATAAGCTCCCAGGGTGACAGTTTTCATTTGGAAAAAGAAGATTAAGGCTTTAAAAGAGGAGATTCCCAAATTGCTGGAAAGGAGCACAAAGGATTTTCCAGAGAGTCAAGAGAGGGTGAGCTGGATGGAGGAAACTGGGGAAGTTGGTTGATAAAGACTTTTTTCTTTTCTTTCTTTCTTTCTTTTTTTTTTTTTGCAGCAACCCTAGTGAGCTGATGACTTCCTACAGGGAGGGCGGTAATAAATTGTGTGGACTGAGCCTTGAGAATCAAGCCACAAGAGGGTTGGGCAGAGGCAGTGAAGGCAGGAGCATGGGAGGGTGGTGGTGTCTGTTTCCTCTGTTCCTTCTCAGGGGTGTCTGTCCCCTCTGTTCCTCCCACTCAGCTGGAAGCACCCGGAAGACTGCCTTTCCCTTGTGCAGAGCTGCAGAACTTGACTGAGTGTCTTGGGTGGGAAGGGGAC